CCCAAGAGGCTCATGTGGCAAGAGAGGAGGGAAAGGAAGAGTCCTAAAGGGGGAAGGCACCTCCGAGGTGCCTTGGGGAGGAGGGACTCCTCCCTTGGCCGCACCCTTCCTTGGAGGAAGGGCCAAGGCTGCACCCCCCCTCTCCCTTGGCCCTATATATAGTGGGGGGTAGGGAGGGCAGCCCCATCTAAGCCCTGGCGCCTCCCTCTCCCTCCCGTGACACATCTCCCTCCTCCCGCAGCGCTTGGCGAAGCCCTGTTGGAATCCCGCTACTTCCACCACGCCGTCGTGCTGCTGGATCTCCATCAACCTCTCCTTCCCCCTTGCTGGATCAAGAAGGAGGAGACGTCGCTGCTCCGTACGTGTGTTGAACACGGAGGTGCCGTCCGTTCGGCGCTAGGATCATCGGTGATTTGGATCACGACGAGTACGACTCCATCAACCCCGTTCTCTTGAACGCTTCCGCGCGCGATCTACAAGGGTATGTAGATCCACTCCTCCCTCGTTGCTAGATGACTCCATAGATTGATCTTGGTGACACGTAGGAAAATTTTGAATTTCTGCTACGTTCCCCAACACCAGCAACAAGACCTGGTGACGGAGATCATCATGTGCCGGAACAAAGACGCGGCGCCCATGGAGGAGGAGGCCGTCAGTGAAACGCCAAGGCTCCTGCAGGTCGCCAGCAGCTAGCTACTGCCGAAGGAGGACTGCGTCGTCAGCGGTCGCCGTTGCCCGGCGAATCTCGGTGAAGAGGCCGAAGGTGGGCCGGGAGCGGATGCACAGCGCCGTCCCCTCAGAGGCGCCGTCGGTGGAGTCGAGGTCTGCATCGCGGCGCGATAAGGCGTCGGTCACGATATTAAGACGACCTGGGCGATACTCGACGGAGAAGTCGAAGCCAAAGAGTTTGCTAATCCACTGGTTTTGCGGCACAGTCGAGAGCCTCTGGTCCAGCAAGAACTTGAGACTGTTGTGGTCCGTGCGAATCTGGAAAGACCGGGCCCACAGATAGGGCCGCCAATGGCGCACGACCTGCACCAAGCCAATGAGCTCCCGCTCGTACGCCACGAGCTTAAGATGGCACGGAGCGAAGGGTCGGCTGAAGAAGGCGAGAGGACCATCGCCCTGATGAAGCACGGCGCCGAACCCCGCACCCGAGGCGTCACAGTCCACCAAAAAGGGGCGGTCAAAATCCGGCATCTGAAGAACGGGCCCCGTCGTGAGGGCCCCCTTGAGGGCCTCGAATGCCGCTGTCGCCTCCTCATCCCAGGAGAAGGCGTCGCGGCGCAACAACCGTGTGAGGGGCGACGCAATGAGGCCGAACTCCCAGATGAACTTCCGGTAGTAACCGGCGTGGCCGAGAAAACCGCGAAGAGCCCGCGGCGAGTGCGGCGTCGGCCAGGCTGCGACGGCCACCACCTTGTCGGCGTCCATAGCCACCCCGTCGGCCGAGATGACATGGCCGAGGTAGGCGACGGAAGGCGTCCCGAACGAGCACTTCGAGCGCTTAAGATGAGGATGGTGCGCCCGAAGCTCGTTGAAGACGATGGCGACGTGCTGGAGGTGCTCTCCCCAAGAGGCGCTGTATATCATAATATCATCAAAGAAAACGAGCACAAACCGACGTAAGTAGGGACGGAGGACGTCGTTCATCGAAGCCTGGAAGGTTGTCGGGTAGTTGGTGAGGCCGAAGGGCATCACCAAGAACTCGAAGTGGCCATGGTGAGTCCGAAACACCATCTTGGCGATGTCATCTGGGTGCATGCGCACCTGGTGGTACCCCGACCGGAGATCGAGCTTGGTGAAGAAGCGCGCCCCGTGTAGCTCATCCAGGAGCTCATCAACCACCGGAATAGGGAACTTGTCCTTAAGTGTAACAGCATTAAGGGCACGGTATTCGATACAGAAACGCCATGTGTCATCCGACTTGCGGACAAGAAGCACTGGCGCGGTAAACGGCGAGGTGGAGATCCAGATGATGCCAGCCGTGAGCATAAGCGCACACTGCTGCTCCAACTCGTCCTTTTGCAGCTGCGGGTAGCGGTAAGGACGCACCGCCACCGGCGCGGAGCCCGGTAAGAGATGTATACGGTGATCATAGGCCCGGGTGGGCGGAAGAACCTGCGGCTCGGTGAAGAGGTCGCCGTGCTACTGCAGAAGGTTCTCCAAGAGCGGATGCTTGGCCTCGGAGGTGACTGCGGCCAGCTGAAGCTGAGGTGGTGCGGGCGTGGTGCCCCCAACGCCGTCCCACTGAATGCGGCGGCCCAGGCGCCAGAAGGTCATCGTCAGCGCGTCGAAGTCCCAAAGAATGGGACCGAGAAGCCGTAAGAAGTCGACGCCAAGGATGAAGTCGAAGCAGCCCAAGTTGACGCCCGCACAGGTGATGGAGAAGTGTTCCCCGCCGATGGTGATGGGGACGTCCCGTGCGAGACCATGACACCAAAGGCGATCGCCGTTGGCCACCGTGACCCGGAGTTGCTCCCCGCCCGTCGGCTGAAGCGCTAAACGACGCATGGTAGCCTCGGGCAGGAAGTTATGGGTGGAGCCTGTATCCACCAAGGCCACCAAGGGCTCACCGTGGATTGTCACTGGCAAGAGCATGGTTCGCTTGTCACGGATCCCGGCGAGCGCGTGGAGGGAGACCACGAGGGTCGTCGTCGGGGCAGCCGTGGGTCCGCCCTCAGCCGCCGTTGGGGGTGGTAGTGCCGCGGCCTCATCGGCCAAAGCGTTGCCCTCGGTGAAGTCGACCATCTCCAAGTAGAAGAGGTGCGGGCACACATGTGTCGACGTGTAGGGCTCGCCATAGTTAAAGCAGAGGCCCTGGCGCCGCCGCTCCATCTGCTCCACCGGAGAGAGGCGCCGGAAGGGGCGCGTCGTGGCCGAGGTAGTGGGTGCCGGTGTGGCCGGGGGTGGCCGTCTTGGTGCAGGTGGCGGGCGGCTGGTCTACCGGCCTCCTCGGGCCGGGGCAGCCGGCAGCATGGCCTGGGCGCGAGCCTCGAAGGCCCGGGCGTAATACATGGCCGTCTGGAGATCCTGAGGGCCGCGAAGCTCCACGTCGACGTGAATGTGATCCGGGAGGCCACCAACAAAGACGTCGGTGTGCTGCTGCGCCATCACGCCAAGGCCTGGAAGCGGTCGGCGTACTCCTGCACCGTAGAGGTGAAGGGAAGGCGGCCGAGCTCTGACAGTCGGCTCCCGCGAACCAGGGGCCCAAAACGGAGGAGGCAGAGCTCGCGAAAGCGCTCCCAAGTAGGCATGGCACGCTCGTCCTGCTCGAGAGCGTAGTACCACGTCTGTGCTGCGCTGCGGAGGTGATATGAGGCAAGTCAGGTCCGCTCCGAAGCGAGTGTGCGCTGCCCGCGAAAGAACTGGTCGCACTGGTTAAGCAAGTTGAGGGGGTCCTCCGTGCCATCATAAGTGGCGAAGTCTATCTTGGCGAACCGCGGCGATACCTGGGTGGCAACGCCGTGTCGAGCTGGCTCGGAGGTGCGGAGCAGCGAGGCGGGTGGCGCCTGGTCGGAGTACTCCGGTAGGGACCGGCGGAACCCGATGGCCCCTCAAGCTGCGGAAACGGAGTCGGCTGCTCGGGGGCCGTGGTGTAGACTGGCGACGGTGAAGCCCCAGCCGCCACGCTAGAAGTGGCGACGGAGAGGGCGGGAACCGGACCTGATGAATCGGGAGGCCGGTCGGGAGGGTGCCCCCGAGCTAGGCAGGGGCGGTGCCGGTGGTTGTAGTGTCGGTGGCGGGGGGTGGCCGAGGGCGTCGGTGGCCGTGGAAGGGGTGGCTGCAAGTACCATAGAGGGCCTGCGGCCGGCGTAATCCCACCGGGGTGTCCCACTGGAAACGGCAGCAGGGGCTGCCCGGTGTAGGTCGGCGCGGAGAACGGCTGCAGCGGTCCGGTGGCCGCCGCCTATGGCATCTGCTGTAGCGGCCAGGGGCCCGAGGACGGCGGCGGCGCCAAAGGCTAAAGGGGCGCGTTGTACGGAGAGATGCCCTGGGGCGGCCACGGCGGGTGACCGTAGGCGGCAGCAGGCGCCGTCGGCAGGGGCATGTAGGGCCCGGCCGCGTACTACTGCTGCTGGTGGTGGAGGCTCTGGATGGCGGTGACGAGGTCCCGCAGGGTGGCCGTGACCTGCTCCGGTGTGAAGACGGCCGACGGCAGTGACGCATGAGGAAGTGTGGAGGACGGCGCGGCCGGGGTCGCGGTGGAGACGGGGCCCGCCAGCGCGGTTGATCTGGCGGCGGACGTCGTCGGCGCGGTGAGGGACCGCGCCGGCAGCATCGGCGCGGTGAGGACGGCGCCGTCATCATCGGCGCGGTGGAGCCGCTGGAAAGCGCCGGCGGTGGTGGTGGCAGCGACATGATCGGAACTTGGTCTCTGATTACCAAATTGGTAGGACTAGGGTGCCTACCGGTTCTACTCCTTAGGTTATAAGGGCAGAACAACGGAGGTTGGGGGCGGGGGCGCGTGCGCCGACGAGTTGGCGCCGTCGCGAGGAAGGAGAAGGGCGGCGACAGCTAGGGCTAGCGCGGTCAGGGTTCCGGCTCCTCTGGGAGCCGGGCAATAGGGATAAGAAATATCTTTATTGCTTAATTCCGAATAGAGTTTTACAGACTATATTTATAATAACCTAGATAAATTACATAATAATTAACCTAAGATAACTTGTGGGCCAAGCCCCTAACTACGGCCCAGTGGGCCTGCTCGGGTTATAAGCTAAACCGGTCATAACAGAACTTTCCCCAGCGCCATGCCATGGAAATACAGAGTGAGTCCCCAAGGTAAGTAGGTGTGTCAACGTAACAACGAGTAAGATGCAGTGCAGGTGCACGCAATGGCATTCGCCAAATAAAAAAGCTGGAAGAAATTTCTCAACACCATCAACAAAATGCTTAACAACACAAGATATGATCGGTACATAATGAGTCGGTTAACAATAGCTTGAATTCATACACAAAAGTTGGTATATATACACACACCAAGAGGCGGTATAATCCTCCTACAAGATATCCAGCTTATCATCGACAAGAAGAGACCAAGCAACAACAATCTCGACCTTAGAGCTGCCAACAAAACACACACCCCTACTCATCTGGCAATGTTGGGCAGGGAAATCGACATCCCCCTGTCCAGCAATAGCACCAGATTCCGAGTATGCTTGGATGACAACTTTTAGTGTTCCTTGTAATTCTGCGGTGACAACATTCCTTGATAGATTAAGATAACCATCTGATTCTACAGGAATTTGTTCACCGTGACAATCAAGCAACACAACTTGGTTCGACGGGAGATCCTCAATAGGCTCTGCAGATGATAGGGAGCAAGCGACTCGACATCCATATTCAAAAGGCGGCCCACCTTCAAGTACGCAAACACCCAGGACAGTGGCCTGAACCGCTCTACCAATTGTTTGAAGGCTTATCTCTCCATCACAAGAGGAACCGGGGAACCAAGCGGTATGATTGTGCATATGGTGATGGTTGGTAGAACAGAAGAATGCTATATCTTTGGACTCGGTTCCATATTTTATCTTCAGTTCGACTTCAAAGTCAACAGGTGCCTTAGCTTGAATTGCACGGGAAGGGCCGGTCAAGCGTAGAAAAGGATCCTGCAAGCATCATCATTGTCGTTATCATTACTAATACTTCATTAAGATGGACTAATCAATAAGATCACAGACATGCGGGAGGAAGAAAATAAAACAACGAAAAATTGATGTTATATACATGCATATATATTACCTTTTCAGTGAGTACTTGGCAATTAGCCCTCGACCGGCAGAAGAGAAGGTTGCGGTTACTGTCTACATCGTCTCGAGCAGCGACCACACCGTACACGTGGAGCGGCCAGTTCAAGTTTTCATTTAGTCTAAAAATTTTGAAGGAGTAGATCTGCAAAGCTGGGGTGATGTAAAAGTAGTCGGGGATGTTAACAGGCACCCGGCGAGTAAAGTGCATAGGACTCAGTGTGGCTGCATGCAACACCAAAGTCAAGTGCGTGACGGTTAGAAATTCAGCATTTTGTATGAAAGGATTAGAAATCTAACTTGAATGAATTGGTAAAGCAGGCCAGGTGAAACCTTTGCCTGTATACCAGAAGGAAATTAGGGAGTGAGATTGTTTAGTATCTATGCATATGAACTCTTTCTTACTTATATCATGGAAGCCACCGGTGTTTCCAATGGGGCCGCCCCACGTAGATTTCCAGCCGGCGCGGTGCTCTTGGTAGGAAGAAACTTGGTCCTCCTCGGTGGCAGACTTGCGTGGATTTGGGGATCCATGCCTCCTGGCTATGTCCCCGGAGATGCTGGCGAGTGCGCGCGAGACGAGGAGCAGCATCTTGGCCTTGTCCGACGAGACGACGGGGACGCCGGAGTTGGATTCCCTGAGGACGGATGCCAGGGACTGGATCCTGTAGCGCAGCCGCTGCGACTCGTGCAGGAGGACACCGACGGCCTCCTCTGCGGCCGAGTCGGTTCCGCTCGAGCCCATCTTCTCGACGGACAACTCGCCTGGACGGCCAACTGGAGATCCTGTGGCGTAGCCTTCTGTCCAGCGATCGTCGCCGGCCTCCTGACGTGATGGAACGGTGGCGAGGAAGAGCGTCTACTGATTCTTCCTTTTTTGGCGGAGATCCAAACCCTCTCCATCTCCTTCCCGGATTCGTGCCACACGATTGCTGGACCTCTGGGCTGGTTAAGACGATTTAGTTCAAAGGTTCGGGCCATACCCTGCTAGTTTTGCAATTCCTATCGGCCCATATCCACCTTTTTTTTTGAACTCTCGGCCCATATCCACCTGGTTGCCTCAAAAAAAAAAACTTATCGAATTGGGATCTGACAAAGCAACTAATCAGCGAGTATTTCTTGAGGAGCCCCTGCAAGGATCACTCATGGAGGGCCGGGAGCACGCCAACTCTCAGCCGCCGCGACGAATTGCGTGCTGGACGCTTTCTCTGATTTTTTTATGTAGCGTTTTTGGCTGTTAGATTTCCCTCGATTTTGAATGTTAAAGAATTCAAATTTTTTGGTCTGGAAAAATCATTTTCTTTTTTTGTTCTTCTATTATGCGAAAGTATAAATTTACTTTTCGTGGAGGCATGGATTTACTTCCGCGAGAAGCACGGTCGTACCGTTTTCCCTTCCGCGAGAGACATAGATTTACTTCTCGCAGAGGCGGGGATTTGCTTCCACAAGAGGCACAGTCGTGTTTATCGCAAAAGGTTTCCTTTCGCCAGAGGTACATATCTACTTCAGGTGGAAGCACGAATTTGCTTCCACGAGACAAGAGACACACGTGTACCTCATAAAAAAAACACATTTTCTTTTCTTTTCTGGCGAGTGCGCGCGACAGGAAGAGCAGCATCTTGGCCTTGTCCGAGGAGACGACCGGGCCGCCGGAGTTGGATTCCCTAAGGACGGATGCCAGGGACTGGATCCTGTAGCGCAGCCTCTGCGACTCGTGCAGGAGGACACCGACGGCCTCTTCCGGCTCCGAGTTGGTTTTGCTCGAGTCCATCTTCTTCTCGACGGACAAATCGCCTGGACGGCCAACTGTGGTGGTGCTGGTGCGTAGCCTTCCGTCCAGCGATCGTCGCCGACCTCCTGGACGTGATCGAACGGTGGCGAGGAAGAGCGTCTACTGATTCTCCCTCTTTTGGCGGAGATCCAAACCATCTCCATCTCGTCCCCGGATTCGTGCGACACGGTTGCTCGACCTCTGGGCTGGTAGACCATTTAGGTCAAAGGTTCGGGCCATACCCTGCTTTTTTTTAAGGGGAAAAAGCCAATTTATTCATCAAATTCCACAGAGTGTGGGATACAAGTCGGAGCCTGGGGTTGGCCTAACCAGATGTGGCGCCCCGGCCCTAGTGAGAGTGAATATTTGGCAAGTTTATGTGCGTCTCTATTAGCCGCACGATCTTTGAACACAAAATTACAGAAAAAAGAAGAAGTTCTACTTTTAATCTCTTAAACAATTGCAGCGTTCCTGCCCCTGTGTGCTTCTGAAATATCATTGACTACTTGCTTAGCATCGGAAGCGATGATCAGATTGTTAAGGTTGAGATCTTCCGCCAGCGCAAGTGCTTCTCGACATGCAATTGTCTCCAGAATAGCCGGGTCGTCCACTCCCGCAATGATCAATGCCGAACTCCCCATGTAGTTGCCTTGATGATCTCTGCAAACCGCAGCTGCTGAACCACCCCTCCCAGTTCTGACGCCGGCATCGACATGGATTTTAAACCAGCCCACCGGTGGTGCTCGTGGCCTAGACTGGCCAGGAAGGCCGCCTCGCACTGCTTTTACCGTCTTATTCTCAAGCACCTCCAGCTCCGTTATGAATCTTTTTACAAATTCTGTAGTGGCCTGTGGAGTTTGAAATATACCTTCATGGATTGCCCGCCGCCGTGCTGTCCATATAGCCCACAACGTGACTCCTAGCAATACAAATTGCTCGTGTGACAGGGAATCCATCAGCGTGAACAGCCACAGCTTGGCTTTTGGTTCGGTAGTGGCGACCAGCGTTTGGGCTAGGTCATCATCAACTAGCGCCCACACACACCGCGACGATGTGCAGTTTAGCAAGGAGTGACGCCATGAATCTAGCGAGCCACACATCCCGCATGCAGAGCTGTCTGTCATGTGTCTATGGGCCCGAACATCTTCCGTCGGGAGGGACAGACGTGATAATCGCCACAAGAACATCTTAACTTTCCCTGGGACCTTGATGTTCCATAATGTTTTTCACGATCCTTCTTCAACTGATGTCGTTGAAGAGCCTGTTGTACCTTCGAGCCATGCCTCCTGACGCCGTCTCGTTTCCACTAGCATGCGATATGCTGACTTGACCGAGAAAACACCATTCCTTTCATAGTTCCAGCTCCAAAAATCATCTGTGTTATGCGTGCATAAAGGTATACTTAAGATTACCTTAGCATCCATCGCCATGAAAACCTGATTAACAAGTTGTACATTGCATGTAGCACTTGTGTTATCTATCAGTTCGGCAACCCGGTTTGGTGGAACGGCCACCCGGCACCCGTAAGGCCGCATCATCTCATCCCTTGGCAGCCAGGTATCAGCCCATATATCCGTAGTTTCACCATTGCCTATGCGTCAGATAATGCCTTGCTTTAGGGTGTCCCGGCCTTCCACAATCGCACGCCATACCTGACTTGGATGACTGCCAAGATTTGCATGCAAAATATCTGTATCAGGGAAGTATATGCTCTTTAAGACGCGTGCGCTGAGAGTGTCGGGATTCTGAAGGAGTCTCCATGCTTGACGCGCTAACATAGATAGGTTAAAGAGCTCGAAGTCCTTGAACCCAAGCCCCCCCATGCCTTTTGGCTCTGTCATCGACTTCCAAGAGACCCAATGAGGTTTCCTCTTGCCATCCTTCGATCCCCACCAGAATTTTCTTATAAGCATATTAAGATGTTCACAGAGTTCCCTTGGTAACTTGAAACAGGACATGGAGAAAACCGGTACAGCTTGTGCCTGTTGGGGAACGTAGTAATTTCAAAAAAAATCCTACGCACACGCAAGATCATGGTGATGCATAGCAACGAGAGGGGAGAGTGTGATCTACGTACCCTTGTAGATCGACAACGGAAGCGTTTGGTTGATGTACTCGTACGTCTCCACGGCCCGACCGATCAAGCACCGAAACTACGGCACCTCCGAGTTTTAGCACACATTCAGCTCGATGACGATCCCCGGACTCCGATCCAGCAAAGTGTCGGGGAAGAGTTCCGTCAGCACGACGGCGTGGTGACGATCTTGATGTACTACTGTCGCAGGGCTTCGCCTAAGCACCGCTACAATATTATCGAGGACTATGGTGGCAGGGGCGCCGCACACGGCTAAGAATATGATCACGTGGATCAACTTGTGTTTCTCTGGGGTGCCCCTGCCTCCGTATATAAAGGCTCAAGGGGGGCTGCGGCCGGCCTAGTGGTGGCGCGCCAGGAGGAGACCTACTCCCTCCGGGAGTAGGATTCCCCCTCCCCCCCCCCCAATCCTAGTTGGAATAGGATTCGCGGAGGAGGGAAAAGAGAAAGGGGGGCGGCCCCCTCTCCTTGTCCTATTCGGACCAAGGGAGGGGAGGGGCGCGCGGCCCATCTCAGGCCACCTCTTCTCTTTTCCACTAAGGCCCATATAGCTCCCAGCGGGTTCCGGTAACCTCCCGGTACTCCGGTAAAATCCTGATTTCACCCGGAACACTTCCGATATCCAAACATAGGCTTCCAATATATCAATCTTTATGTCTCGACCATTTCGAGACTCCTCGTCATGTCCGTGATCACATCCGGGACTCCGAACAACCTTCGGTACATCAAAACGTATAAACTCATAATATAACTATCATCGAAACCTTAAGCGTGCCGACCTTACGGGTTCGAGAACAATGTAGACATGACCGAGACATGTCTCCGGTCAATAACCAATAGCGGGACCTGGATGCCCATATTGCCTCCTACATATTCTACGAAGATCTTTATCGGTCAGACCGCATAACAACATACGTTGTTCCCTTTGTCATCGGTATGTTACTTGCCCGAGATTTGATCGTCGGTATCCAATACCTAGTTCAATCTCGTTACCGGCAAGTCTCTTTACTCGTTCCGTAATACATCATCTCGCAACTAACTCATTAGTTGTATTGCTTGCAAGGCTTAAGTGATGTGCATTACCGAGAGGGCCCAGAGATACCTCTCCGACGATCGGAGTGACAAATCCTAATCTCGAAATACGTCAACCCAACATGTACCTTTGGAGACACCTGTAGAGCACCTTTATAATCACCCAGTTACGTTGTGACGTTTGGTAGCACACAAAGTGTTCCTCCGGCACACGGGAGTTACATAATCTCATAGTCATAGGAACATGTATAAGTCATGAAGAAAGCAATAGCAACATACTAAACGATCGGGTGCTAAGCTAACGGAATGGGTCATGTCAATCAGATCATTCAGCTAATGATGTGATCCCGTTAATCAAATAACAACTCTTTGTCCATGGTTAGGAAACATAACCATCTTTGATTAACGAGCTAGTCAAGTAGAGGCATACTAGTGACACTCTGTTTGTCTATGTATTCACACATGTATTATGTTTCCGGTTAATACAATTCTAGCATGAATAATAAACATTTATCATGAAATAAGGAAATAAATAATAACTTTATTATTGCCTCTAGGGCATATTTCCTTCAGTCTCCCACTTGCACTAGAGTCAATAATCTAGTTCACATCGCCATGTGATTCAACACTAATAGTTCACATCACCATGTGATTAACACCCATAGTTCACATTGTCATGTGACCTATACCCAAAGGGTTTACTAGAGTCAGTAATCTGGTTCACATCGTTTATGTGATTAACACCCAAAGAGTACTAAGGTGTGATCATGTTTTGCTTGTGAGATAATTTTAGTCAACGGGTCTGCCACATTCAGATCCGCATGTATTTTGCAAATTTCTATGTCAA